GAAATCGAGGCCCGGGGCTCCGTCGCGGCCTAGCTGCTGCGGGGAGGAGGCGGGGAGGCCTTGCCGTTACCGTCGTCGCCCCCGCCGCCGGCCTTTTGTCTCCGCTGGGCTGGGTGGACGCGGCGGGGGCAGTTAGAATGGAACAGACTGAAGGTGAGGGCGGCGGGCGGCCGTGCTGGCGGGGGCGGCCCGCCCGGGCTTAAAGGGCCCGCGGACGCCATGTTTGCTACCGGCGCTGCGGCGGCGGCGCGGCCCCCGCGGAGGGAGGGAGGGAGGGAGAGAGGGAGGGAAGGAAGGAATAGAGGACGGGAGGGGGCAGTGGGCACCGGACCGTCCCGAGCCGAGCCGACCCCGCGGGCAGGGCCGGGCAGGGCGGCCCGTCGTCCCCGTGAGGCGCGGAGCCGGGCCGCGGAGAGGGCCGGGGCGGGCAGCGCTCCGGGACCTCGAGCAAGCGGCGGTCCCGACACCCGCCTCGTTCCCCGCTCCGGCAGGTGACTGGGGCGAGCGGCCGGGGTTCGGTGGGAGCCGGTGGCGGCGACCCCCAGATGTGGTGGGGAGAACTTGGGGTGGGAGCGTGCCCCGTGCTGTTCTGGAGGGGTGCAGGGCCCCGGCCCCACCGCGCACTTGTCAGCTGCTTCTCGGGTCAGGAGAGTTTCAGTGCGAGCTCTGAACACCTGGGTATACCTGAGGGATTTGTTGTTTCCTGGATTTTATTTATTTTTGTGCGGTACTGTTGCATCGTGCTCTGGTCTGTGTCTCACTCGGCTTTCTCTTGACTGTCAGTAAACTCGGCAATTTTAATACAGGCTTAAGATTTTCAATTTGGTGTTAAAAAAAGAAATCTTAATGATAACATAGTTCTCTATATATGTCAACCAGCACAAAAGACAATGTGAAGTAGCCTGTAATCATAGTTCAAGAAAAAAATTGTAGCCTGTTTTGATGACTGTTTACGTCTTCCAGTGGCTTGTTGTGGAGATGCGCAGGAAACATTTGGACAGTTAGATTTTGGGGTTTTTTAATGTTTTTGTTGAACTGCTTGAAAGAGTGTGCTTCAAAAAGTGAGCGTGTGCTTTATGAAGTTACAGAGGAAGAGTAGAGGGTGATGGATCAAAGACTGTGTGTTTTGTTGTAGTACAACTGTGTTCTGCATTTTTCACTGAGGCAAGTTTGCCTGAGTTTGAAGTGACTGAGGTGGAAGATGCTGGAGTTATTGCACTGGTTTGGGGATGTGAAAGCATGTCCTGACTGCTGGGATATTTGGTGTTGCCAAAGACCTGACTTCTGGTCTCACCTGAATATCAATCCATGACTCTCCCTGAAGAACAAATGATTGTTTTCCCTGTTTCCATTTTGAATCCCAAGGCTCTAAAACCAAATGAGTACCCTGAACTCACTTTCAAGACAAACTCTTTTTTTCCTTTTTCCTTTTTCCTGCATAGCATTTTCTTTGATTTTGCCTGAGTTGTTTCTTTCCATGTCACCATGGGAAACTTGTTAAAAGTGGCCTTATCAAAACTTTATTACAGACAAGACTATTTCTTCTGGCATTTAAAAAAAAACGAAACCCGCACCACCTTTAACAAGGTACACAGGGAAGTAGTCAGCCTCGCCACAGGCTTTAGAGTTTGTCGGGAGGTCTCTGATTTACCGTCAGTGTTTGCCAGAAGAGACTGCTCGGGCCAGCTAAGTCAGGAGAAATGCCCAGGCTACAGTTTTTTCTGCTAATAAATCTACGTGCTGTTGAAAAGTTGGCATTGTCTTAACATACGTAAATAAAACTTTCTGTGCATGATTTCTTAAGGACATCCAGAACAGAAAGGGACAAAGCAGCCTGCAAATACTGAATGCGGGAATCAATAAGAATAATTAATTTATTTCTGTTTACGGTTCATATGATTTGAGCGCCACAGGGTGCTGTTACAGTTGCTAAAGGCAGCCCCCGGGTGCTTTTTGACCTGACTGTAGGAAAAGCATGGGTATGTTCGGTTCTGGTGAGTGGCTCCTCGGGGACAGGGGTGGATGCTGAACTTCAGAGAAAGCCAGGTTCTGCCTTTCTCCTGGTTCCAGCTGAGCAGTCTTTAGGTTTTGAGAGGAGGAATGGAAACATGACAGAAGTCGATTGCATCACTGAAAAACCCTGACCAACCTGGCCTGTTCCAGCTGCTTGTAAAACACCGACAGCAGTGAGTGTCTGCTGAGAGTCAGTGCTGGATGAGACCCATGAGGTGAGCAGTACCAGTGCAGGTTAGATACAGGCTATGCTGGAATGAAGGAGCGCAGAAAAGGGCAGTAAACATATGTGTGGTGACTCAGGTAACGAGGGGGTGGTAGGATATGAAGAGGCCTTTGAATCTCTGTGATTTAGATCTACGTGGACAGGACCTGGTTTGTTGTTTGTGCATAAAGATGGGCTAGAACTTCTGCTTTCGAGACTGTTGATAGAAAGGCCAGCTCAGGGTGACGAGGCAGTGACACTGTTCACTGAACACTTAACACTGACTCAAGTTACTGGTTTTTACTGGGTCAGTGGGCCGGCAGCACCGTTTCAGTTCTCACAGCAGATAGTTTCCATCTGTGTAAAAACCTCCCCTCTACCAGGCGCTACCCAGGGGCGTTGGGCAGGGCCACCCACGGGGAGGTTGTCAACAGAAAAGGGTAAAATGAATTCAAAAAGGTTTTGAGGAAACTCGGTTTGAAATATGTGCGTGCTACACTTTGTCAGTAGAAGTTGTGTCAGCTCCTGGCTGTGGTGGCAGCCTCAGATTAACAGGCTGGTTAATTAACAGCACTGGTGGCCGTGGGAGAAGGTGCACAGAACCCCGCGGGTCTCGGGTGTTCAGGGAAAGCACCGTCCTTTTGCCCCTGGCTTCTGGCTGCTTCCTCCGAGTCCTGCATCCGGTGGGCTTTGGGGGCAGCCCCCTCACCTCATGCTGGGGGGTTTTCCCCGGGGCTCCTGCTGGGCGCTGGTGGGTGCTGGTGGGTGCTGCTGGCACTTAGGAAACTTCTCTTACGCACCGCACGCTTACCGTAGCTGTTCTCGCTTCTTTGGAGCTCTTCCTGATTGAGCAATTGTACAGTGACTAGAAGCATGTTTGTGTATTTAATAGGTGAGTCCTCCCCTGCTGCTGTATTTTGTGCAAACCTGCAAAACTCTCTCTTTGGGAGGAAAAAAAGCTGTCATCAGTAAGAAATGGGATAAGCACTGCTCAGAATTGTGTGATAATCTGGGAGGTCTGTTGTTACTTAGTCTGCTGTGGCATCAAAGCATATTCCAGAACTTTGTAAGTATCTTGTTTTCTGAGAGTGAAGTTGCAAAACACTTGTGCTAAAAATGGCTCTAGATAAGTGTAATTGTTGGTGAAAAACATGAACCCAGAGGATTCCCAGTCTCTGAACCTTTCCCATGACAGAGCATTCGCTGGTGAAGGTGTAACCGACTGTCTAGGGTTAAGCTCAGTCGAGCTGAGGAGCTCAGGGTGGGAAGTGAAACAAACTGGTGTTAATGTAAGATAGTGCAGTGTAAGGGCTCTGCCAGGTTGGCCTACCTTGTCTTCGACTGCTTATATTTTTTATTTCATTTCCTTTTGTGGCTCTCCCAGGGGCAACATGAAAATACTTGCTCAGAGAGTGTCCGTGTGTAGAGTGTCAGTGTCTGTGACCAGTCCCGGCTCCTGCCCCACAGCCCTGGGAAGGGGCAGGTACAGGACTCTGGCTGTACAGTGCTAGGGATCAAATGCTGTTCTGCTCACTAGGAAACTCAGGTGCAGTTTTGAAGGTATTGTTCATTTCTAGTTGGTTCCCAACTGCTCTGAATTAGCCGTTTCCTATAAACCTTGAAATAATAAATTGTTTCTTTATCTCTTGGTTGAGTTCCAATGGCATATCAGTGCGGTCTCTGTGATGGGTCATGTTTGGAAGCTAAATTCTACAGCTTGCAGGAGGCTGATACTGTAATTTAATAGGGTAATCGCTGTTGTGGTGAGAAGAGTTTACCCTGGAATAGTTTTCTGCAAGATCAACACGTGTCACTGAGAATGACATTCCTGTGGTTTTAGGCAGTGCTCCTCTGCTGAGGAAGGGTTGGTGTGACTTGAGCCTGTTGTTGATATTTCAGTGACAATGGGGTACTCTTTGCATTACAGCTTGGGAGTGACTTTTACAAAGTAATTCCTCCCTGGTTCAAACATTGAGATTCCTGTACGTTCAGGATTCACCCATGTGTTCTGTTATTTCAGTAGCTCCAGGGGCTGTCGCTAACGCAGCCCCGCTGCCTGCTCCCTGCCTGGCACCTGGGGAGCCAACAGGCTGGTGCAGAGCTTTGGGAAGGAAGAGGGTTGGGAAAATCTGGGTGTATTAACTGCGGTGACAGCGAAAGGCTCGGAAGGAAGGAGCTCTTGATGATGTCAGCTCTGGGGGAGGAGATCGACTTCTTGTGTTTTCAGACTGTGTAGGGTAGCAATTGAGTGAAGCAATAATGCTGGCTTCTGCAGCCCGGACAGGAAGATGAGGCCGGTGTAGGAATTGTGCTGGCTCTGGAGCATAGGATCATGTCCAGGTCTGCTTTACACAGGTGAGCTCCGGAAAGGAACTCATAAATCAAAACTATTTTCTTTTATTGGTAACTCCTAAATCTGATGTAAGTACAGTGCTTTGAAGCTCACTAATCCACAGCTTCTGTCCCGTAACAAACCAAGGTTTGGGGATGACCCTTCAGGCAGTGCCCGTGGAAGTGAGTGTGTCGCCAGCTTTAGGAGCTGTCACCACTGGGGCCTGGCTGCTGCACAGAGACACAGCCTGGGCAGACTTTGACCTGGAGGGCTGTATGCGGGGGAGATAAGAGGCACCAGTCACCATCAGGCAGCTTTTGAATTCTGTTAATATTGTGTCTGGATCTCATTAACACCACTCTGGTGGGATGGTTGTACCCGTGTAGCAACAGAAAACTTGTGCTGCTGAGCACTAGCGAAACTGCGTGTTGCTGCTATGCCTTCTTTCAGCCCTTCAGAGGAAAACAAGCTGTCCTGGTAACAGCACTCTCTGTGGGTGAGGACTTCTGCTGGCTACATCGATGGAGCATCACATCTCAATGTAGACCCAGACAGACGTGACCGTGACAAGAGGCCTGTAGTGTTGTCATGGTTTAGTGCTCCTGCCTTGTGACAGGGAGCTCTTCCTGTTGGGAACAGGGCTGAGGCTCGCAAACAGCCTTCCCTAGATCCCCTGGCAGTCTGCAGATCATCAACTTCTGACCCATGTGTATGGATGGAGTTAGAGCGGGTGAATATGAACAGCCTAACGCAGTCACTCCTGGTCAGCCAGATGCAGGCATGTAACATCCTGGAGAATAAATGAACTTTGGTGTCCTAGTGAAATGCTGCACAAAATAGTTTGGTTTTTATCCCAACTTTTTAAAGTGTGGGAGCTCTTTAAAGGAAACACTGAAAGTTGCCAGTGTAATAGAAAAAGATCTGTTCTTATTTCCAAGGTGTGGGGTAGGGTAAGGCTTCTTTAGGGCAGAAACCTGTTGCTTGGGCTGTCATACAGTTTCAGTGCTTCTCAAACCACTGTGGGTGGTAAGAACAGCTCCTGGTGCCCTGTGTCAGCCTCACCCCGTGGTGTGGCTTGGCTGCAGAGGAGCCTGTTTGGGAGATTTCAGTGAATTCAGCAGAGGAGCTGAGCAGCAGATCAGAGTTCTGTGCCACTGTCCGCAGCGACATGCCATTAAAGTGCTGCCAGGGGAATGAACTGTGACCACATCCTGTAACCCACAGGTCACAGCAGTAGGAGAGAGGTTGGATTCTTTTTTTTCTTTTTTTTTTTTTCCTCCCTGATGCAATAGTTGAGGAACAAGTTCTCAGTCTGTACGTGGTGAGTTGGGTGACCAGGAGATGGTTACACAGAGGCACAGTTCCAAGGCAGCCTCCCAGATGTGGATGGGTAGCTGTGGGTGATGTGGAAGTGAGAGCTGGAGGAGGCCCCAGACCCGGTGGTGTTGGCTGGGGAGGATCAGTCGTTCTGGTGGTGACAGTGGGGTCTGTTACACAACGAGATACTTGCTCGTTAGAGGAGCTGTGCTGCCTGGCGAAATGAGGTCTGCCTTGATATTTGATGTTTTAAGTAGGGCCAGAGAACCTGTACCTGCATCTTAGCGAAATGAGAAGTCTGCCTTGATATTTGATGTTTTGAGTAGGGCCAGAGAACCTGTACCTGCATCTTCAAAATTAATTATTGCCTTTTCCCTCTCAAGAAAGAAATGAAAAGCATTAAAATTGTTTTGTCACATCGGATGAGCATCCTCCAGCAGGACCCAAAACTTACAGAGGTTCCACCCTTAGGCTTATAAGCAGGAAAACTTAAAGCGTAATTATTCAAATACCATGTGACATTAGCAAAGTGATATTCTTAGCGAAGTACAGAATGCTGTGTAGTTTTTGTTTTACAGAGTTTCACTTTCTGAAAGTTGATTTGTTGCTTTTTATAATTCTGGTGTGGGCAGAGCAAAGTTTGGGTCCTGGTGTGGTATCCTTTAACAGATCCATTATTTAACATTCGGGTGCTTAGTTCTACTGAGGTAAATAGATGGTTGTCTTTCAGAGTATTTGGGTTAAAGAAAGTTATTCAATTACTATTAAAAGAAAATAGCAACAATATAAAACTGGGAAGTTGAGAGTAATTCTGAAAATTTCTTAACCTGTTTCTGCTTTGGCTCTGTCCGTCCAGCACTGGATGTGCCAGGAGGACTGAAGCGCTGCTGCAGCTTCCTGAGATAAGTTGTGTGGGGTTTTGCTTTTTTAAGTATTCAGAAGGAAAAAAAAAAAAAAAAATTGTATCTGGTTTTAGTAACAAATAAAAGCAGCCCAGGGTGCAAGTTCTTACTAGTGTGAGAAATCTGTTTGCTCTTCAGTTTGGCAGACGTAAAGTAACAATTAATTGGTAAATAGTACAACCAGTCCCACTTCTTCCTAGAATGGGTGGTGGTTGGTGGTTTTGACCTCGACGGGCTGATCCTGCTGCTCCGGGGGCTGTCCCTCGGATACGCCGTCCCCTCGGTGGTCACATTTTGTGGTGGCTTTGTGGCGGGTGTGCCGAGAGCTGCCAGAGGGAAGAGATGGTTTTACAGCCATGAGATTGAAGTGTGAATTTTGCTGTGTACATTGTGCTGTTGTTTCCCCCACGTCGCTGAATTAGAGTGAGAAACGTGCCCGTGGTTGGTTGCATGGGCAGTGAATACAAACACCAGGATAATCCCAGTGTGAAGTTCATAAAACATAGAGCAAATCCTGGTCAAGTTCTTACTTGTTACTGTTGTAATTTCAGTTTCTTTTTGCAGTCTCAGAGGAGGGACCTACTCTTTGTGTTTTGAAAACTATTAGATAAGATCTGAGACACATTGCGTCGGGAGGGTGAGAATTCAGTGTGGACAGGGTTACGTGTAGGTTCTGACTGAGAGAGTATCTGTGGGATGTGTAAATGTCATTTAAACCCCAACCAAAAGGGCACAGTAACCCTCCTTTACGCCTCCACAGAGAGAGAATAAATAATGCCCAGCTCCGTTTACTTTGGAAGGGCTAAATTGACCTTGCTTGGAAACGAACTTTTATTTCTTACCTGAAGTTTAGGTCACGGTATATTTCTTCCTGTTGAACACTGAGATTATTTGGGTGAGCGCAAAAGCCCTCTCTGAGCCAGGAGCTGTGCTTTGGAAATACAGCTTTGGGTTAGTCTGATTTCGGGGTTTTAATATGCCATGGGAAATGGAAAGTGTGTGTGACAGCTTTCTCAGCTGTGATCTAATTCTGCGAATAACCTCAGGTTTTGGAGAGCTGTTGATGCTGAGGCTGTTTTTCTCTCCCTCAGAACCACGTGGTGGTTAAGCCCTAAGTGTTTAATATTAAAGTAAGGGGCAGGGAGTGAGGATGATAACCCTCCTCACTGAGCTCCTGAGAGCCAGCGGGTGCAAACTGCCCTGCTTTGCAGTGAGAGAAGAGGTTGGGAAGCCCCGTCTGAGGCCGTGGTACCGTTGGAACTGGTTTTCCCAGCAGCTGAGGTGGACTCGCAGATTCCCTTCATGTGTGAAGAGCCCGTGGCTTAGCTCTCCTGAGGCCTGAGGGCTGCTCATCTGGCTTGAATTTTGGCAGGGAGGACGAGAAGAGGTTTCTCTCTTGCTTGAGTGGTCTTTCTGTGGTTTTTCTGGCTCGTTCAGTGTGCAGAGACTGTTGGTGTGGGGAGAACTTGGCATCTCCTGTGTGTGAGGGACAGTCTGCCCTCTTACTGCTCTGTGTTAGAGTAACGCTTCCGAGCACCAGATCGGGAGGCTACAGAGAGTGGTTGGACTTTCAGCCCCATTGTTCTGACTTTGTAACACTTGGGCTCATAGTTTTTAAGCAGTTGAAGGTTCTTATAACATTTCTTTAAGAAGGTGGTCATGTAAAAAAGTTGTTTTGCAGCAATGTGTAAAGAGCACTTTTTAAAGATCCAGTTAATACCAGTCCTCTCTAAATCCGTGAGAGAGTGGCTACTGAATGGAGAGGGGGAAATTGCTCTTTAGAGCTTTTTTTTTTTATTCCTCATCAATTTAATTTGCTTAATTATTACCTTTTGACTTACACTGACTTCTCATTTCCCTTTCCCCGCCTTTAGGCCCTATGAGAAGAAGGGAAAGCTAAGGATGCTGGAGCAGAACAATGGATTTCTCTTTCTCTTTCATGCAAGGGATCATGGGAAACACAATTCAGCAACCACCTCAGCTCATTGACTCAGCCAACATCCGCCAGGAGGATGCCTTCGATGCCAGCAGTGACATTGCTGAAGATGGGGGACAGACGCCCTACGAGGCTGCCCTGCAGCAAGGCTTCCAGTACCCCACGCCCACCACGGAGGACCTGCCCCCCATCGCCAACGGCTACCCCCCCGCCATCACCATGTACGAACCTCAAGCCAAATTCCAGACGTACTCCCAGTACCCCAACGGCTCGGCCAACGGCTTTGGGACCGGCAGGAACTTTACCCCCCCGGAGTATTACCCCATGGAGAACTCTAACCCACGGCCACACGACGTTCTGGAAAAACCTTCCCCCCCCCAGCCGCCGCCTCCGCCACCCCCTTCAGTCTCACAGACGGGGGTTCCAAAGAAGACTGGCTCACCAGAGATCAAACTAAAAATAACCAAAACTATCCAGAACGGCAGGGAATTGTTTGAGTCCTCTCTGTGTGGGGACCTTTTAAATGAAGTACAAGCGAGTGAGTATGCTAAGGCGAAACATGAAGGGAGGAAAGAGAAAAGGAAAAAAAGTAGCAAGCATGACTCTTCCCGATCGGAAGAGCGCAAGTCGCACAAAATTCCAAAATTAGAACCAGAGGAACAAAATGTAAGTGGAATCTGGTTTCAGCCCTCTGTATACCTGGTATTGTTGATGGAGTGTGTGTCTTCGGCAGTGTTTCTTCCTTACTTTTAGTTCAATGCATATTTAAAGTCATTTAAGTTTTTATTTTGGTGAAAAGACTGCACATAAAAAAGAAGTTATAATATTTTCTTAATATTATTTGGTGTGTTAAGATACTCAGAGTTTGCTACACTTTGGACAGTGTTGATGATGGAGTTTTTGGCCAAGAGCATACACATTCCTAAAAGTGCCTCTCAGAGTAATGCTGGGATATTCAGTGGAAAGTCGGGTGGTTTGGAGCATTCGGTGCTGCAGCTTTTAATTAACTTTTTTGAAAGATACTCTAAATGTTGTGACAGTGTACAAAACCAGAGAGCTATGTAGCTTGTGTAGAACCCACTAGGAATTAATATTCTAAACCAGTAGGTAAATTACAAATACCAATTGACTCAGCAAACTTTGGGAAAATTCAGTATTTATGTCTATTACCATTTCTGTCAAGATTTGTAATATGGTTGTGTGTACACAGGGTGTGTGTATATATCTTTTTTCATATATATCTGGGAGGGGGGTTAACTTAGGTTCCAGGAAGCAGAGGCACAAATCACTGGTCTTTGGTACTCTCAGCCATTCTTTTTTTCTTCAGTTTTATGAGCCAATTAATTACTTCTGTTTCTTTTTCTCTTGCTTATTCCTGCCAACTCTGTGCTACTGCTTTCTGTACTTCCCAGTTGAGGGGAATGGGTGGCAGAGGAGGGGCGAGTGGCAGGAATGGGGAAGTTGCTGGGACAGAATGGGCTGATCCAGTCTGGGGCTGAGTTTCTGATCAGTTTGTCCGGAGCCCTTGGCCCTCACTGCTTTGGGAGAAGACCCTGCCCCATAGGGATGGAACTCTGTTCTGGTGGGGGGGTTCGTGTGCCGGATGGGGTGGTGATGGTGATATTATTTTTAGTGGAAGATGGGCTGATTTCACATGTACACCCCTTACCAGTAATATTGACGAGTTTTACAGCTTCTCTATCTCCCTTCTGGTAAGAGGACCTATCCCGGAGCTCATGTTGGTGATGCACCAAGATTTTTGAGCTTCTACTATATTTGATTACCGTAGTTTGATGAAGCTCAGTAAGATCTTAATCAGCATTGTAATCCAAACTTGAAATAGACTGTCCAGTTAAACTATGAGCCATCTGTGACTGCATTTGTAGGTAATTTTGTGCTCTGGGGATGCAGGAGCTGCAATGGGAGCCCATTGCCCCACTGGTGTCTCCCTCATGCCCACATTGTTCCTGCGTGTAGGGTGGAAGCAGGGTCTGTTCCTGTAGTCGATGCTCTGCTGGGAGCTCTGCTGCTTGTTGCTGTTCGTCCTCCTCTCCTTTGTTCGCTGCTGGAGTCATATCTTTATCCCCCAAGTTTCACTTAAATCAAATCTTGGTGAGTTTGGTTCTCTCAGAGTTCAGATAAAGACATGGTCTTTTATCCAGGCTTTTTGGCCTCTTCTCCAGGTTTTCTTCACCCCATCAGGCTGTTGGTTTTGCATTTCCAGTTTGCCCTCTCTCTTACTGGGGACTCCAGTTCTGCTGTTGAAGCTCCCACAGTGCCTGTCCCTCTGTGTGACTGGTGTTACCTCGGTATCGCAAGAATCTTCTGTCTTTCTGTCTAAAACTTTGCCTCTCAAGTTCCAAGTTCTAAGTCTCATGTATCATCCCGAATTCACCAGGAATCTTGGTCTTGCTTTTGTCCTTCTTGTAGCTTCCATTTCCCTTCCAAAAGGTGTTGTTGCAATAACATCTCTGGTGTTACTCACCCCTGTTTCAGACAGCAGATTGTGCTGACACGAGCAGGATTTTGTGCTGGTGGGTTTCGTTCTGAGTTACCCAGTACAGTCCCATCCTCCCACTGTTTGTGTCTCCACGATTTCATCTTCATCTGTGTTCATCATGTGCACTTCTGTCATCTTTAGTATTAATGGTGTGAGACTTGTGACTTCAGATCATCTTAATGTGACCAAACAAAACCTGTGGTACAGCTTTGGTTATTTACACTCTGATGCTCAGCGGGGCTGTTGGAGCAGAAGGTGCCCTGTGGTTGTTTCCTCCTCCTGACACTCCTCTCTGGAAACCCGCTGATCGGGGGATGTTCATACATGAAAGGCCGATTTGAAATTAAAATGTTATGAAAACACTGATGAACTTTAAGCTGTGAATACTTGGTTTAAGAATCAGTTACTCTGCTGGTTGGTTGTGTTTGCGAGGAGCTGGGATCGTGCAATCAGCCTGGCTCTCCCGGCAGGGGTGGTTGTTTTCTACGGGTGGTTGTAGGAGATGGTGCCCTGAGTTGTTCTAGATGCTGTTGACCCGTGTGTTTCCTCCTTTCTCTGAGCTGAAGCACAGACTAACGGGGGGGCTGCGTTTCAAATGGACACGGTGTGATTTGGATTCACAGCATTGTTAGTTTCTCCCTGCGTGTGCCTGACTCTTTTTTTTGCTGCTTTTTGAGTCCTTTGATGACTTCTCTGCTGTAGGGAAAGCGAATGCCTGGTCTCTGTCTCAGGAGATAGCTCATGGCCACCTCTTATCTCTCCGCTGCTGTCACCACACCCCCTGTCGTGGCCACTCCGTGATGGTGGTGGCTTCTGGTCAGTGGTGACCCCTCCTCTGCCCACACCTTCCCTGCTCTGCCAGAACAGGCTCTGGCTCTGCCTCGGCCTGGCCTAGGAGTGCACCGTTGGCTTTTGATCCTCCAAACATGTTTGTCAACTATATACAACATGAAAATCGTAAAATGGATGTTAAATTGCATATTTAATATAATTTTTGTAATGTAGCTTTTGCAAACGACTCGTATGCAGTGAGACCCATCACGCTACTGTCGACGTCCTTCATATGTTCTTCTCTGTTTCTTTGAAGTTGTATATTAATTTAGTGGAAAGTTGTTTGGGTTTACTGTCCCTGAGTGTATGCTCTTCTGTCACCTGTTTCAGGAGAACATTGTTGTATGTAGGTGTGATGGTAATGTAAATAGTGTAGGAGAAAAGGTATTTTTTGATTGTGATGCTACTATGTTTTGAATTAGGCGTAAGGAATCATCATAGTCTGGTTTCTGGATTCATCAAACTAGTGTTTTCTGGATTCATGGTCGCCTTTCTGTGAATTATTTTTCAGCCTGGTTTCATTATTATGCTTTTTGTTGGTTTACTGTCCCCTTACCTTGTTTGTGTTTGTTTTCCCTTTTCCTCTTCATTGTTCCCCATTTCCTAGAGACCAAACGAGAGGCTCAGTGTGCCATCAGACAGACCAAGAGACGATACGGCCTTGGAGGAAGCCCCGGTTAGTACATACACTAATTAACACTAAGAAACACTTTTTGGACTCCTAGCATGTTACGATTCTTTAATTTGTCAGGTAAATCAGTTGCCATTTTTTTTAAACTCTTATTAATCATTACTGCATCTCTTACTGCTTTATTTTATCCCCAAAGCAATATTCTTAGTCAACTTACGAAGCAGAAACGTTTTTGGGGTGGAGGTTGCTATTGCATCTTGGCTTGTCAGTGCCTGTCGTGTGTAAATCCTGCTGTTGTAACTCCTGAGAGTTACAGGAGAAAAATATCAGGTCCCTGTGGGCAGTGTGAGCATCTCTGAGCACCCTGAATTGTCTCTTGTGGCTTCAAGCTTGTGTTTTCCTTGTAGGTCCAGCAGTTCTTGCCTTCCCTTCCACCACAAGGCACCCACGACATCAAGTTTCAGGTTGGCGACCTGGTTTGGTCCAAGGTGGGAACGTACCCGTGGTGGCCTTGCATGGTCTCGTGTGATCCACAGCTTGATGTTCATACCAAAATTAATACAAGAGGTAAGGGAGGAAGATCTTTGCCAGAATATATTAAGCGTTTGTACTTGTTCCTTTATTAAAAATATCTTTGAACTCCCTTTGCGGGCTGAGTTCTGCTCGTGTGTATGTTGAACAGGGTATTCTTGAAATGTATAAAACTCGTACTTATTAAATTCCCTCTACAGATGAGCCTGTGCAGACTGGGCTTGTGCACAGATGCTCCTGCTTTTCTGCAGTCAGTGTATTTATGAGAAGCCGCTGAGAGGTGGGAGAGGCTTCAGTGTGGGCCACGTGTCCTCACCTTCCCGTCGGACACAGTTCTCAGTCTGGGCCCCTCTTGTTTCTAACTTTTAGCTGGGTACTTCCAGCTGCAGGAATTGAGTGACATGGAGGAGGGAAGCAAAGTGGTGCTGATGCAGGTGCTGACTGGAACCTTTCATTTCCAGGTGCCCGCGAGTACCACGTCCAGTTCTTCAGCAACCAGCCCGAGAGGGCCTGGGTGCACGAGAAGCGGGTTCGGGAGTACAAGGGACACAAACAGTACGAGCAGTTACTGGCTGAGGCTGCCAAACAGGCCAGCAACCACTCTGAGAAACAGAAGGTATGACCAGTGCTGACTGCCCAGAGGGTAATCTGCAGTCCTGGGCGAGTGGAACTCCTGTGGGGCAGTTCAGGGTAGTGCTTTACCCTGGGAAGGACAGTCCGAGTTTTGCTGGCAGAAGTGTTTTTTGCAAAGATTCTGTCAGTGTCTCCTACCCCTGAGACTTCTGTGCGAAAAGGCTGGTAGTGAACCTGCTCTGTCAGTTCCCCAATGGCAGTCATCCTCAGCACTGGAGATGACTTTACATCTGCATTAGAATATAAAATAAAACCAGTGTTTGTGTGTGTTGTGGGTGTGTTTGGTTTTTTCTGGTTGGGTTTTGTTTTGGTTTGGGTTGTTTTTGTTTTTGGTTTTTTTATGGTTGAACTAGATGATCTTAAAGGTCCCTTCCAAGCTAGGTGATTCTGTGTTCACTATTAACCTGTTCTTTGGAAAATACAGTCTCTAAAGGACACTCTTCCAGCCCCTGTGTTCTTTTGCTTTGCTTTATTGGAGGGAAGTGTTAGCGACAGGAGTCGTTACTGTGTAGATGCACTACTGCAGGCAGTGTTTTTGCTGATCCAAATATTGATGTGGAAGGAAAAGAGATACAGAAGGATACAGAGGGTTAAAAAAGATAAATTAGTGTTGATTCGGTGTCTCAGAATTACATGCTTTAATACTGGCTGTTTTTGTCTTTGGTGAAGTTGTAACTCGGGGCAGACACTTTTAATTGTGCTGGTTGTATCATCCAGCCCCAGTGGCTGCTTGTGCTTTGGGCAGGGGATCCACCATCCACCTTTCAAAAATACCCTCTAAACGGATGGCTTCAGCCTGCTGTCTGAGGGGTGTAAAGAACATCAGGATTGCATTTGAAGTGCTACACATGGCAAACTCTTCAGTGTAATTAGCTGCTTGTCTTTGTTCCTTAAGATTCGCAAACCCAGGCCGCAGCGGGAGCGCGCTCAGTGGGACATCGGTATTGCCCACGCTGAGAAGGCACTGAAGATGACTCGGGAGGAGAGGATAGAGCAGTACACCTTCATTTATATAGACAAAGAGCCCGAGGAGGTTCTGTCAAAAGCCAAAAAGACTGCTGCTTCCAAATCGGACCCCAAGAAGAACCGGCGACCGAAGCCAGCTCCAAACACCCAGGCAGAGCACGCGCCGGCGGCAGCGTCACCCCCAAACGCTGAGCTGCGGCGGCAGAGCCAGCGGAGACAGTCCAGTGTGGAGGAGGAGGAGCCCCCTCCCGTGAAAATCGCCTGGAAAACGGCTGCAGCCAGGAAATCCTTGCCAGCTTCAATAACCATGCACAACTTGGATCTTCAGAAATGTAACATGTCTCCAGTTGTTAAAATTGAACAGGTTTTTGCCCTTCAGAATGCTGCTGGGGATGGAAAACTCATCGATCAGTTTGTTTATTCCACTAAGGTACGTTCTTTGTGGGGTGACTCCTCTTCTACTCGTAAATTATCCCAAGTCTGTCTTACTGTGGAGCTTACACTGTGTCCACTGAGCTTTCACAATACACGTTCCTTTCATTGGAGAGATTAAATCTTACACAAACAGGATCTTTTAGTGCCCCGAGCCCTTCATTTCAGTGCATCCCCCAGTCTCTGCAGTCCCCGTTTTGCCGGGGGGCCGAGGAGCTCCCTGTGGATGGTCACATTTTTGCTCATGACACATTCAAAATGTTAAAGCTGTTTAATTTCAGCTTCCTAGTTGAAATAATGGAGAAATTGTCTGTAAATATTAAAATCAGTGGATTTGTGGGAAATAGATGAGATGACAAAACTGTTACTAATGTATTAAAAAGTAATGACTACCTTTTTGTATAACAGCCTTTTACAATGAGTTCTGCCTCCCAGCTTCCTTCAGGTGCACAGCAGCCTCTCACAGGCAGTGTAAGGAAAAGGTTTAGGACTATTTCTCTGCCTCCTTCTTCTGCCTCTCTACCTGGAGGGTATTTATTTCATCCTAAGCATTATAGAGAAGGTAATGTTTAGAAAAGTCACTTGGAATATTCTTTTTTTTTTTTTTTTTCCTTGTGTGTAAGGGGAGCTTGAGAGGGATGGAAGGCTGTGCAGGGCAGCAGCTCAGCAGCAGAGATCACCATGTGCATGTGCTGCTTTGAGGAGCCTTGAATGTCTCTGGGCTGAGCTCTAGGAGCAGATCAATGTGCCTGTTGGCAACGACACACACTGAATAGGTTAAGACGATCTTTTTCTTTTTCTTTTTTTTTTTTTCTTTTTAAGGGAGTTGGTAATAAAACAGAAGTAAGTGTCAAAGGACAAGAGAAACTCAATTCTTCATCAAATCAGAGAAATGAAAAGGCAGCGGTGCAGAACGCGTCCTCTCCTGAAACAACTTCTGGGTCAGCAGGTAGGTGAGGCTGCAGAATCCGTGTCTGAACCTCAGCAATCCAGCACTTACATTCACATACCAAGCCTGGCATTTCCTCATTAGCTGAAAACCATTATTAACATCTTTCTGTTTACGTAGTAGTAGTAACAGGCACGGCCAATACAGCCCGTGGGGAGCCCGGATGGCTGAGAAACACAGGATGGCTGTGTGAGGGGATTCGCTGGTTTGGCCTCTGAACTCGTAGCGGCTGCGACTCGCAGCGTCTGAGTCACCATGGGAAGGATGGATGCCGTGTGGAGAGCAGATGGCAGGTTGATTTAGAAGAGAGCACGGTGGATGTGTGTTAGCAGAAAATTGCAAGGCCTTTTGGCACCAAATGGAAAGTGGGATCAAAGGAAGGGGATCTGGAAGTGGCAGAGTTCAGTAGGGAACGGCGCTGACTCGGGATGGGGGCTTCCCTAGACTTTGTTGTTGAGTTCCTGCATGACCTTTGTAAAGGTTAGGGATTTCTTTTTAAACTGCTTCAACTAACTCCATCAGCAGGATGAGATAACACTTGCCTTCCAAAGGCATTTTAGGGGCCCCATCACAAAGCACGGAGTTTTGAAGTGTTACGTCTGAGGGAGAAGAACCACTGAAGCGAATAATGGAGCTCGAGACTGAAGAGAGGAAGCCTGGAACAAGCTGTTTGAAGTTTAATTTGTAGTCAGCAGTAGAGAAAAATGAGAAAGATAACCCAGATGAGTGCTTTCCAGACTTGGAACAGAAAAACATTTTTTTCCTGTTTTGATTTTTGCAAAATAGCCAATGGGAATTCTTCTGAAGGGATTGAGCTTTCCCTCACCAGCAGAAATGTGTCTGCAGTGCGGCCTCTTGTCATCCTCAGAGGAGACAGATTCCCTTTGGTGAATGATGGAGGTTCCTGAAAAGAGACAGTTTTGAGTAATCCAAAACCAAGAGCTTTTCAAGTTCCCCCAGTCCCTGTAGTGACTTCTGTTTTTCAACCAGGGATTTTGTACGGGCCGTGGAAAATCCATTAGCTATTGCATGTGTGTTACTGTGCTTGTAGTTCTCTCTTTGGTATGGTCTCAAACAAACTTAGTTTTACATTGGATTATGTAAAAGTAAATTCTAGGTGGCAGCAGAAGACCTTGATCTTCTCTCTCAGTAGGATGTGCAGATGTCATGGGATGGAAGATTTGGTACAGTCACATGCTAAAAACTCGCTTTTCTTCTTGAGAAAAAAAATCTCATAACGTTGCCAAGTGTCGCTCCTGCTTTAACTATCTGTCTGTTTAGTTATTTCTCTCTTTCCAAACATAAAATAAATGAGATTCCAGGTCAGAAACCTCAGCGATCAACACACAGGGGATCCCTGTCCTCTGTAAACAGGCTTCAGTTTCTGTACTCGTGTAGTTTTCAGGTGGGGTTATTGTTATATACAGCATCTTCTGGTCTGTCTCCGGGGACTTTACGACCCAGGCTGAGCACTCTGGGTGTTCTGGTGTGAGTGGGGTTTCCCTGGTGTTCTCGACAGTGGTTCTTTCCAGGTGTAGCTGCCTTAGCTGCTTCCATGTTTTCAGGCAGTCACCCCATTGTTGCCTCGTGGCAGGAGAGGTGGTTGCTGCTTTGTTCCTTTCACTGGGAGCTAAAGGCTTCACCTTCACAGTGATCTCCAGATGTAGCAGGGAGAGAATTCTGAGCCTCTCTTTCTTCATTTCCTTAGGTTTTTTGGATACGTAAAAGTCCACCTGATAAGCTCGTGCACTCTGTGGGGTGTTTAGTTCTGTACGCACTCCCAACAGTCACTTCCAAAGCCATTTCCAAAGTCCAGACAGTTATTGGTCCCCTCTCATGGAACATAACTACAAACTCCTTTTTTTCAAATTTAAGGTCACTGGAACTTCAGAATACCTTTACCATAAAGTATTTTACAGAGTGACTCTAGGAGTCTTTAGTAATTCCCTGCAGTTACATATACAGATACATAATGCCAGGAAAATAATTGTGTACCTTGAAATCTGATAATAGAGAACAGCTCTGAGAATTCATGGTGCCTCTGGTCTCTGCATCCAACTGGGACAGGACTGACCTGGCCAGTAGGGAGGGGATTGTGGGTCTGGAACCTCTCCTGAAACTGCATCAAAACATGCCCAGAGACGGGACAGGAGCATCGTGGAGGTGATGCCCTGGATCCTTGGGGAGTGGGAAGAGGAAGCAGTGCCCATTCCATCGATCAGTGTTACTGAAATATTGACAGATGTGCTGATTCTGGAGTTCTCTAATGCAGGGCTTGCATCTTATTTCTTACAGTGGGGCAGCAGAGGGAGAAAACATGTAATTGATTAAGTGAGTGTCTGGTCACACTTCCTCAGGTTTCCTTTAAGCTGTTTCAGGGAGTTTGGGCTGAACAGGAAGGTGAGAGGAGGTGGCCCCTGGCATTAGTGGTGACATCCCTCATGGCTGTGTGTGTCTCCCAAAGGATGTGGCTCATTGGAGCCCAGAGTTAGCCTGTGCATGAAGGATGTTGAGCTGAGTTACTAATTTCTGAATTATTAATAACTCATTGCTATTATTAATTAGTTAATATGCTGTAATTTTTTTTTTCCCTTGAAGAAAAGCAGTTCACTTGTTTCCCTTCAGAAACACAGTTGTTGTAGTGACAGCTTTTTCAGTGAGAAGGTTTAGTTACTGAGGTGTTCCTGAGGCACACAGCCCTGAGAAAATGCTCATCCTATTAATCCAGATGAACCTTCTTTTTCTCTCTTTTTTTTTTTTTTTTTTTTTTTCTCCCACCTTGAACCCTTCTGGAAGGCTTTTTTTCCAGTGTCTGATGAAACCCTGCCTCTCTCTAGATATTTTATCTCCTATCAAGAAGGCTCAGAGTTACAGCTCTAACGGTGTGTCTGTCTGGCACAGCGAGCTCCTTCCTGCTCACAGACTGTGTCTTTCTGCTTGGAAGAATACAAAGTATTTTAAATTCATGTCTTCTTTAGGTGAAACACCCCAAACTGAAAACCAGGAGTAATGCTGAACTGCAGATAACTGTCAATCTTCACATTTCCCTCTTCTGTCAGTACGGCTCTGAGTGTGGGCTTTGGGTCAGAGGTGCTGTGTTCGTGTCTCCATGTGCCGGTTTGGGCCGTGCTGCAGCTCAGAAACCTCTGCTGGTTCTGCCAACCTTAGTCGTCCAAAAACCAGTAGCTCCTACTTCATCTCCTGAAGTGTCATCATAACCTTCATTTAATCCAAGTTTGTTTTTCATGGTAATATTTTCACAAACTTGTTTTTTCGCTTCCATTAATTATAACAACCCATCATGATCACTGCTGCTGTTCCGCTGAGTTTTCACCTCTTGAAATCTCCAGTTGAGCGCTGAGATTTGGGATGGATGGCCCGTGTTACAGCTGTAGGGTGTTGTGTTGGCGGCTGTGAGGAGGCTGGTGCCACAGAGCAGGGCATAGACCCAGCGTTTTGAGTGAGAACTCGGAAGCTCTGTCTTGTGTCTTGAAGCTCTAGCTTGTTTTAGCTCCCGGAGGTGATTGTATATACCTTCCCTTAAACACCAAAGATGGACTGTTTGGTTAAAACCGAACCAAAGCGAAGACTGTGCTGGAGAGGCGTGTTACAAAAACCTGTTTGCCCTCAGCTGGATTCCAGCTCTTTGTTTCGCTCTGTTCCTGGTGTCTGTTTCTGAAGCTGATCTCTGTCTGTGGAATCAGAACGTGTTGTCTGCAGCCACAGCACCAGCTGGCAAATAGCGTGGAACTGAATGTAAAAATAAAACATTCAAAAGAGGAAACAAGTCTTGGTTTCGTTACTTTATCTGTTGGTTCGGTGTTGAGCATCTTGCTGTGCCTCAGAAATACAAGGGATCGTATAATGGAAACCTTTCTCCTTCTTCAGGTTCTGTAGAAAAGAAGCAACAGAGAAGATCGATTCGAACCCGCTCAGAGTCTGAGAAATCCACTGAAGTTGTGCCAAAGAAGAAGATCAAAAAGGAGCAGGTTGGCTTCCTCCATGTAGAGAGTTAAAATATATTGTATTCATAAATGTTGTGGCTTATATTGGTGCCTTTTTATTTTTCTCCATTTTTCCCCATCGGGTTTCGTTTTGGACTATCCTTCATGAAATCCCCCTGTCAATACATTGCTGTGACTCTGCTACTGGCACCTTCCCAGTATCAGTCAGGCTTTGGAAGTGGGAACGCAATGATGCAAGACTCCTAACGACCCTGCCTTCTTTGCCTTGAGATTTCTGTTCTGAGCAAAGTGATTTTGTTTCAGCCATTTCTATTTGATGGAATTGCCACCAGGTTCCTTTCCTTTTGCTCTTGATTTAGCTGCTGGTTTGTATTGAGGTTTTGTTTTTCAAATGAAGTTAGACTGATTAATCCAACCACTTTTGAAAATGGACTTTAAGAATGATTTAACGTAAAGGTGAATAGTCAGAGTTTTCTGTTGGCAGCCGTCAGCAAAACAGATCTTCTGGGATATACTTTTTTTTTTTTTTTTTCCTCCTTAAGTAGATCTAACATGTACAGGGCATTCCTTTAATCTGGATGTCAGACAGACAAATGTTGTTGCTTTAAAAAAATTATAAAAAAATTCTGCGTGGAAATGAGTAGGGAAGTTCAGTGGATGGACATTAATACTAAAACTGAATACACTTTTTTAACAAGTTTGTCAAAGTTGTTGGTTCTTTTCCTGCCGTGGTTGATTTCCCTTCTTCAAGGGCCTCTCCACTCGAAACCTGAGAATTTTATATAAAAATATTTCGTAGTATAGCTTCTACCAGTGAGAATTTTTTAAAAGGAACAGTCAGGCTAAAGATTTATATGGGAAGGGGAAAAATTGTTTTTATCTTGTTTATTTTAATTTATTCTTTGCCCTTTTACGCTTTGTTTTGCACTTCATTCACATCAGAAATTGAAAGTGGACCCAGTTGCTTTTTTTTTTTTCCATGTTTTTCTTTTGCTGCTGTAGCATTTCCATCTGTCTTCAGCAGAAGAAGGTTCTAACCTAGAAAGTTTCTTGCTGAAACTTTAAAGCAACTTAAACGTTGGGCGTAAGACCCCTGACGCGGTCCCTCAGGCTCCTGGGGAGGTGCTGCAGCCTCCCTATTTTCAGATGAGTTCTTTTATGTTTGTAAATGTTTCTTAACAAAGGTATAAGAACCAACAATATGAACTTCATGGATCCCAGTTAGCTTTGCTTGCCTATATTATCCAGCTAACTAAGACTATGAACATTAAAGTGCTTTTCTCAGGAAAAGTATGAGACTAAAAATTAAACCGAGATGCACTGTAATGCGCATATCCTTGAATGTATTAAGTTATATTAAAAAAGAAAAAAATCTTACTAACTTCTTACAATTATGCAACAATATTTGTTACCCAAAGTCAAGTTTTCTTGCAACTGATTCCCAAATTAGTCTGCAACGACTTGGTATAAAATTATAACTGGAACGAGTACAATTAATGGGAAAAACAAAATGTTATTGCTACTGTTACAGTGACTAGTGGAGAAATAAAAGTGATTGTTTAGATTTTATATTTGTATTACGAAATGTATCCTATACAAATCCTTCTATTGTATGTTTTTACCTATTGTACAACAAAATAAAATATTTTTTAAAAAAATTATAGAATAATCCTTAAATATTTACTAAATGTGTTTCTACATGCATATGTAACCGCATTGTAAAGAAATTAACTTGTAATTCTTAACCTTAAAACCAGGATTTTAGGCAACAGCTTTCTCCTATAGCTATTGTGCAGTCGCCCAATCCTCCCGTGCTCCCAGGACATGGGCAGAGCAGGTTCTAGACTTGCCCTTCCCTTAGAGGACCGAGAACTGGAAGCGCTTTTGCAGGACCGTAGGCTTTTCTGCCGCGGCGTGTCCTGACACTGGGTTTCCAGCTGGATGGAGCCCTGCGAGGCTGCGCGTCCCCCGGCCCCTCGCAGGGCTCCAGCCAGAGCCGGGCTCTCCCCGCGGCTCCAGCGCCCGCCGGGGGGAAGCGCCTTGGGTGTCACTGAGCCCAGTGTCAGCCCTCCTTGAGGGGAGGTTGTGCTCACACAGGTGTGGGGTTGTACCGCTGGACACCGAGCGAGCTGCCCCGTCCTCTCACCTCCGTGCCCCAGGGAGAGGGGGGGAAGGACCCCGGCAGTGACCGTGGGGCTGCCCTTCTCCCGGCGCCCAGCGTGGGCAGCGGGACTGACCCCGGAGCGGAGGCTCACGCTGGGATGGGGAGCACAGACCCCCCCCCGAGAGCTCTGAGATGCTAATGGCTAAACTGACCTGTTTGCTTTTTGGGACTAGGGAGAAAAATTCCTCCGGTTTTAACTTTGGATTTTCCTATTCAAACAGGTTGAAATGGTTCCCCTGACAGCAGTGAAGACAGGATTGCAGAAAGGTGAGTTACCTACAAAAGTAAACTTGATTTAAAGTTCCTGGCTCATCACACTGCGGCACTGGGGTTCCTTCTGTGTAATCTTCTGAGGTCGTAATGCTTTCTGGGGGTGAACATGAGAGATGCTCCTCTTATTTTCTCTTGGGAGGGTTTTCTGGGTTTGTCTGTTGTTGTTGGTTGGTTGTGCATTGGTAGTTGGAAAGAGAGTGTTTGTTCATGTCCTCTAAGCACATGATAAAGTCCTCCTTCTGGACATTTCTTAAAAAAGTCTTTGTTTAGCCATATTTTAAAGATGAAGGACACAGAGGTGATCTCCTATGGGTTTATCCTTTTTTACAGACAGTTCAGTAGCTCCCCCCGCTGTGTCAGCACGTTCAGAAGTTTCCCAAAAGGTCTTCCTAAAGTAATTTTCAGTTCCATTACTTTTTCAGGCAGGGTTAAACCAGTATCAAAGCTGCAAACTTAAGGGTTTTTCAGTTCCATTAGTTTTTCAGGCAGGATTAAACCAGTATCAAAGCTGCAAACTTAAGGCTAGCAAATAGAGTACGATTTCAGGCTGTCTCTCATCTTTCTTTCTCCTTTATTAATTTTAAGCGAGAAGTTGAGAATCTACATTAAAACTAACTTTAGTATGTTGTGTTAAGGTGCCAGCGAGATTTCAGATTCTTGTAAACCTTTGAAGAAGAGGAGCCGTGCCTCGACCGACGTGGAGCTGACGAGCTCCGCGTACAGAGACACGTCCGACTCCGACTCCAGGGGACTCAACGACTTACAGGTAAAGGCTTACTGTTCTCACAGGGGGTTGTGCATTATTCTGTGGGTGTAATGGGCTTTTCAGCTGCATATTGCTGAGTACGTGAACACTCTGTTTTCTTCAAATTTCATGTCTTCTATTGTCTAAGAAATAAAGCCTAGTCTTTTTCTTTCTAATCCCCCCCATTTTATTGGTATAGAAACCAATATAATATTTCTTTGCAAGGTTTCCTCCTTTGTCTGGCGAAACATCAGTTGAGATCACTGGCTCGGTTTGGTTTGGGGAAGGTTGTTAGATTCTTTAGGAATTGGGAGATGCTGCAAAATTGAGATGTGTCTGGAAAAACTAAAATCGGTATCTTGACAGTTTTTACTCGTACAGGTAACAGGTATGTCAAGGAGGCAGCAGTCCTTGTCTCACTGTCACGAAGTTCAGCAGCTTTCCAGGACCTTCTCAACATACTCGGTTTGGGATGGTTGTTGTTAGATTCTTTGGGAATTGGGAGATGCTGCAAAATTGAGATGTGTCTGGAAAAACTAAAATCGGTATCTTGACAGTTTTTACTCGTACAGGTAACAGGTATGTCAAGGAGGCAGCAGTCCTTGTCTCACTGTCACGAAGTTCAGCAGCTTTCCAGGACCTTCTCAACATACTGAATGAGCTTTAATCCGTGGTGACCTGACTGTGGTTTTCAGGTGTGGCTGCCCTTTGCAGGTGTCGTGTTTGATGCCTTGGATTTCTCTCTTTGTAGGGTAGTTTTGGGAAACGCTCGGACAGCCCCTCGGCTGCAGCTGATGCTGATGCCTCTGATGTGCAGTCAGTAGATTCCAGTTTGTCCAGGAGGGGAACTGGGACGAATAAAAAAGACACCGTTTGTCAGGTAACTGCTGGTGCTGTGAAAAGGTGACTGCTGAGGATGTAGTGTCTGTTTCTGTCAGTTTGAGCTGCCAGACTTTTCAAATTGCACTACTTTGGTTTAACCATGTCTCATAATTCAACGTCTCAGAATACCAAGGCTTTTAGGAGTTTTTATGTTCTTGAAATGATTGCTGAGCCCTCCTGCATGCTAGAAAGTCCAGAAGTTAGTGAGTGGTATCTAATCCATACCTGCTGGCATGAGTAGGAAAAGTAGATGCTGTTTTCTGCTCCAGTTGAATATTTCAGGTGGCCTTTCGAAGTAGGGCAGAGTGAGAATTTTCCTGTATTTTGGTGAGACAATCCTGGAATGTTGTGGGCAGTTTCCTGGTCCATAGTAAGGGAACGAGCTGCTCTTGCTTTTCAGGCTGGTGAGAGGAGGAGTCCAGGTGGATCCTGTAGTCCCTCTCCCAGCTCTGTCTGTGCTCATGCTGTAAGGGAGTGAGGTGCTGGGGTTGTTTCCAGCTCAGAGACTTGCCAGCTCTGCCGTGGGGTGCAGGCCAGTTCTCCTGCCTTGTCTTAGCTCTGAAGAGATTTCAGCCAGTTCCTAGTCTTGGTTAACATGTGGTAGTTATCTGCCTTTGAGTAGGTGGGGTGCCCTTTGCTCTCTGACGAGCTGTCTCTCTCTCTGAAGATCTGTGAGGGCTCTGGTGAGTCGCTGGTGTCCTGCGAGGGCGAGTGTTGCAGCGTCTTTCACCTGGAGTGTCTCGGCCTGAAGGCGATGCCTGAGGAGAAGTTCATCTGCGCCGAGTGTAAAAACGGTGAGTTCCCAGCTCTGAAAAGTGGGGAGGGATTTCCCTCTTCTCTGAGGAGCCGTGTTCTGGTCAGAACCAGCCCAGAGGGTGAGTTCCCAGGCTTTGGGAGTGCTTTTGGGTTATTCTCTTACTATTTTAACTTCTGAGGCCACATTCTCATTTTCCACGTAGCTAGTACCCGGTAAGAAAAAAAGTAATTAACTGTTTAGGGTTTTACATAGAATAAGGGACTTTTATTTAATTGCTGTTAACATAATGATTATGGATTATAGTGACCAAGTTACCTGGTAGAAGGGACAAAGCCTGTGTTGCTCAAACTGCCGTTAACTCTGTTGCCTTCAGAATTTTTTCTGAACAACTTCTGTGTCTCAAAGTATCGGCCGTTTCAGTTGGGCTTCCTTATTCCTTCTTTTCCAAGGAGAACACACGTGCTTTTCCTGCAAGCTTCCCGGGAAGGACGTGAAGCGCTGCTCCGTCAGCACCTGCGGAAAGTTCTACCACGAGGCCTGTGTCCGCAAGTTCGCCACCGCGCTCTTCGAGTCGCGCGGGTTCCGCTGCCCGCAGCACTGCTGCACCGCCTGCGCCATGGACAAGGACATCCACAAGGCCAGCAAAGGTGAGGGCAGAGCTGGAGGAACCAGGCTTTTCCTCCTTAACGAGGTCATTAACTTGCAGTCTGAGCCCTGGCTGAGGATACCTGGATCTGCAGTGCTTGAGTCGTGCTGGGTTTAGTGGGAGCCAGGGGTTAGGAGTGCAGGACAAGGAATGGGGTTTTAAAAGACAGTTGGGAGTGGCCTTTAGAACAATTATTTTTCAAGAAAAAAAGAATCCTTTTTGAAATTAACTGCATTATTTAAACAAACCAAGCAGACTCTAGAATGATTAAAACCGTGTATTTTTTCTTAACAGAGTTTTAAAGTGAAAGTTAAGAGTTAACGTTTGTGAATTATTTTTTTTTTTTTTTTAAAGATGTAAAATGTTTCTTTTAAATCCAGTGCTCTGATTGGGATAAAAATGAGCCTTGCCTCTGTGTGTGGTGTGTCGGGCCGTGCCCCGGCTGCAGGGTGACCCGTTTGTGCGTTTCTGTTGAACAGGTCGCATGGTGCGGTGTTTCCGGTGCCCCGTTGCCTATCACTCAGGAGACGGCTGTATCGCCGCGGGGAGCTTGTTTGTGTCATCCCACATTCTCATCTGTAGTAACCATTCCAAAAGGAATCACTCCTCATCAGCTGTAAATGTAGGCTTTTGTTTCGTTTGTGCAAGAGGTGAGCACACTTTGGTTTTTGTTTTTTTCCCCTGTTCTTCTGTGGTCACTGTGCAGTTTAGTGATAAAATTGATGTATTTCATAAAGAAAAACTCCCTTAGGGCTCTCTGGGGTTTAAAAGCTGGTTTTTTTTTTCCCCCTGTTCTTCTGTGGTCACTGTGCAGTTTAGTGATAAAATTGATGTATTTCATAAAGAAAAACTCCCTTAGGGCTCTCTGGGGTTTAAAAGCTGCCTGTGATTATTTGACTACTTTTTGGTCAATGGTTCTCATGAGGATTCCAGTTGCTGTGTTGGTCTGTGGTATTTGATGCTCGGAAGCAGCCGTAGGTACCCAGAAGACCTGCTTTTATTGCCAGTAGGAAAAAGCAGATGCTGATCCCCCACTTCCAGCCATCCCAAGCTGGGAACGGGTGCTCTGTTATTATTCACTGTCTATTCAGCAGAAGGGGATTCTTTCCCACTCATGACTTGAAACTGTTTACATTTTTAAGGCTAAAAGGTAGGATTTACTCATGAACTAGAAAAATTCATTTTATTTTATAACTCCCATCACACTTGAGAAGTTTGATAGAAAACCATCTACAGTTCTGTATAAAGGAGGTTCATGCTGGGATTTCCCAGTTGCTGCAGGTCTCTTGCAGCAGGCAGGGCAGTGCCAGGAGATTCCCAGCCCCTTGGTTTGGTGTTTGTTCTCAGGTGACCGGAGCCAGGCTGGAAGTGGGGTCAGATACAGGTTTATGACAGGAAGAGTTTCAGTGTCAGGTTAGAAATGTCTCTGGGCAAGGCCCAAGGATGGTGTTACCCTGTCCCTGGGAGTGCTGAGGGGACAGGTTCTGTGTGGCAGGACCTGTCTGGTGCTGTGCTCTGCTCCCAATGGGGTAGGTCACAGGAGCTGATGGCAGTTCTAAAGCTGTGTTTGTGCTAAGATGTGAAGGAAAGCAACAGCAGGCTTCTGCCTTTGGCTATATCCTAAATATTTTCTTTTCTGCCAGTTTCAAAACACTATTAAGCTCTAGTATCAAAATACATTGCGTGATACAAACCAGCTACGTGAATTTCTTCGCAGCTGTACTTTATTAGCCCTCTGGCCAGTTACTGCAGGTGCTTGGAGCTGCCTTAAGGTCCAAATACCATAGAAGAGCCTACTCTAGATGGTAACTCTGCTGTAGTTTGGTACAGATACACACGATGGTGAACCTCCTTGGGAATTTTTTTTCTAAGTTTTGGCTACTTAATCTGTGATGCAAAGGTGTAAAGTACAGGTCTCCTACTTCTCGGGGTTAGAACCTATTTAAAAGCTTTATGAAAAGGAATGTCTGCTCTTTGGCATCTGTCTTACCTGTATGGCACAGAAATCCGAGTTCAGGAGTAGGATTCCAGAGCGGGATTACGGTCATGGAGCCTTAGCTTGCTGGAGATGCAGAGCTGCAGTGATTTGGAAAAGATAAATGGAAAGCAGAAGAAAATTTTCATGCCTTTCCCCCCCCCCCTCCATTTGACATTGTTTTAGTAATTCTGTTTGTACCTGAATCTGGCTTCCTCAGAGGTGAGACTCCAGAAGTCTGTGGTTTCTCCTGACGCCCAGCAGCCGGGGTGTCCTGTCCTCTGCATTCACTGCCTCTTAGATCTGACAGCTTGAAAATTCATTACAAACCACTGCCACCAACTGAATCCTCTGTGTTTCACAGCAGCCGTGTCCTTGTACAGGGAATTCCCCTGGGTTTTGTTCTGGTGGGTGCAGCGGAATTGGGAGCTGGTGTCCTGCACCCCAGGGGTGTGGAGTTAGAGAACTTGAACTAAGCCCTCTCTGGTGACATGTGGCAGCAGGAGGGATGTGGGGTGAGGACAGTGGGTGTAGCAGGAGCACTGAGTGCTGCCTAGAGAGAACGGGAACTGAAAGCTCTAAAATCCCTGGAATCAGTAGGTGAGAGCAGTTACTGCCTTAGTTTTTGCTGGTATCAGGAGAAACTTTGTATTTCGGTGCAGAACAGGACTGGAGTGACAGAATGTAGCTCTGGGACAATCTGTAAAATGCACAAACTTACTTGTTGTGAGGTGCTGAAACACAGTATATTTTAAGACTTCCTATTCCCCTTCAGGAAACCTCCTTTGTCCAGCACGTTATAGTTCATATAATTTTGCACAGGTAGGTCAGGCTTGTGTTGTGACTCCTCCCAAGGACCTGCTTCCCAGGGAGGCTGATGCTGTTCTCATCACAGCAGGGATTTAGGCACCCCAAGTTCAGCTTCTCCCCAGCACTTGGCTCTGCATGTCCCCCCACGCCGGGCCAGGGCTGGTGTCCCTCTTGGCTCTGCTGCTCTGGGTCACAGTTGCTCTGCTCTTCCTGTGCCTCGCTGGCCAAATGCCTCTGATCCGTAGCCGTGGGGCTCTTTCTGGGGCTGGCAGCCTCTGGAGCAATGGGGAAAAACCTCTTCTTGGTAGAGAAAGCCCCAGAAATGCCAAGGCCTGGTTTGCCATCAGTGCTGTAGGAGAACAGGGAATGTGACAGCTCCGAGGAGTGAATCGGGTGGCCGGGAAGGGCAGGGCTGGGGGAGCTTCTCTGAAAACAAACAATTTAGGGCAGAGCTTCCATCATTCTTTCCCCTCTGGTCCCGTGCAGAATCACTGACCCCACCTCGTTGGTTTTTCCAATGCAATTACAAAGGCAAAGTGCTTTCCCAGGTAGGATCTGAGACAGGTTTGCAGTAGGTGGGATGGGGAGATCTTGTGTCCAACATCTGCTCTGTCGGTTTGTAGCCCCAGCCAAGAGCCTGTGACCACCACCCCCAGCTCTTCAATTCACTTGCCTTTTGCTTTTGGGAGGGAGGGTGGTTCACACAGATATAAAATCGGTTACTTTTCTTGTGCTTTTCCATAAATGTACAAATTAAGGGTAAAAGCACAATTGAAATTCCACTTAGAAGCAGCTTATTCATCATAGGTTTTCCAGTGCCATTTTAATTTAGTCTCTCAAACACATAACCTCTTTCTTAGCGAAGAAACTTTCTGTCAGACTTTTTCTTTTCTTTCATTTTATCTTTTTTTCCATCGGCACAGAAATGCATTAGAGATGTTCGTTTTGGTTTATTTTATTTTCTCCTTTTCGGAATCATGGGTAGTTTCATTGCAACTCATCTCTTTCTGTTTGTTTCGTATAGGGCTGGTAGTGCAGGACCATTCAGACCCCCTGTTCAGTTCATATGCCTATAAGTCCCACTACCTTCTGAATGAATCAAATCGTGCTGAGTTGATGAAATTACCTATGATTCCTCCTCCTTCGTCAGCTTCCAAAAAGAAATGTGAGAAAGGTAACCAAAATAGTTTCTTTCTCTTTAATTTACTTTCGCTTTTTTCTATTATTTCTCTCTCTTTGAATCACACCAGAAATGTCTGCTTGTCCAGCACCACTTACTGCTTTTCAGTGACCTTCACTCATTGGTTATTGTGAGCGTGTGTTCATGTTGTTGGCAATTTTTTTTTATTATTACAAAAGGGCTTAAAATAATTACTGTCACTAAATTCTCCTCGAGAGAGGTGAAGTCACTTTGGCCAAGGCTGGTCCAGCTCCAGGGCAGCTGTTTCCCCAGTGGAGAGGAGGCGAGTAGAGCTCCATCTTGTGCAGTTCAGTAGCACCAGCTGCTTAAATTGATTTTTTTCATCTGGAAGCGCAGGGGGATGTTGTGTCTCACACCTTTGGGGTGGCTTATGCCGAGCCTGGGAGAAGCAAGGATTTTTCAGGTTGGCTGCGGGGGGGTCCCGTGTCCATCCGAGGACGTGGGCAGGGAGGTTTTGCCTGCATTTGTGTCCCTTTGTCCTCGGGGCCATGTCCCCTCCCTGCCAGCCTGGGCCACAGGACCTGCCTTCTGTCCCCTCAGGGACCTCCCTGGCTCCGGGGACAGCGAGGGAGGGCTTTATTCTGGTGTGGGTGGTGCTGCAGCATCTCACAGACCTCCCGGGGAGATCACTCTTGTCTGCATCACGTACTCAGATGGAATGTTTTATTCCCCACAGAAATTTGATTTCCCGAGAGCGTTCAGAACCGGTGCCCCATTAACCGCTCTAAAGTCAGGTTATTTTGGTCGTTGCTAGACTGATGGCTTTCAGTAGTTCCTGGAATTCCTGAAAACAAGAATTATTTTGAGCCCTCCGCTGAGCTTGAGCAATATCTTACTAATGCATCCTGAGAGCAGAGTGTTGGTTTGTTTTCTCGCTTAGCACTGAAAGTTTTGTGTTTGATTTTGTTTGATTTTTTGCATCTCTTGGCATTTTCTCATGTTGGATGATGTTTCAGTAATTTACACTGGGGCTGTATTTCCTCTGAAGTAACACTTGCAAAAAAAAAAAATTATTTAAAAAGTTAAAATCTTATTATGGATTTGGGGAGCTCTGGAAAATCCATATGGTTGGATTTTACGTTTTTTAGCAGAGGAAATACAGTATTGGTCATGCAATGATTTGTTTAAGGAATGCTTCTTGTGACATGCAACAATCAGTGAACGCAGTGACGTTTTTGAAGGTCTATAGGTGGACAAGATTTTCTGATAAATGTTGGAAAGTTACTATTCACACTTCTTTTGATATTGTGTGCTTGAAAATTGCTTTAAATACTCTCAAATCTCTCCTGGATTTTCCACCTGGGACACAAAAACTTTTTTTTTTAATTATATACATATAAAAATGTGTATTTATATTTCATATACTTACACATATTGTGATGTTTTATATATGTCATGCATCAAGCCTTACTGTATGAGCTGCTTTGTTCACTGAGGGTGCCTTGGAGCTGAGCTGTGGCTCTCACAGCTCCTGCCTCTGCCAGATACAGCCCCGCTTTGGTCCAAATCAGTGTGAACTTCAGAAATCACCATTAACCGCTGTGCTGAGATCTCTGTGCTCAAAAGGGACTTTTGGGATGGGGTGTCTCATTCTGCATTATGGATTGTGCTCATACCAGTGAACTCCTTTATGTGGAATAAAGAGACTTATTACAATTCTTTTATAACATCCTTGGCACAGAAAAATGTCAATCAACCTATAGGCTGTGGGGGTCATGCACACTAACGGGTTGCTGAGGGATCCAGTCATAGCAATGTGGGCGAAAAGTGTCGATCAACCTATAGGCTGTGGGGGGTCATGCACACTAATGGGTTGCTGAGGGATCCAGTCATAGCAATGTGGGTTGAAAAGGTGATTCTTAAAAAAATTGGTGATTTGTTGTTGTTTTGGCCATCCCCAAAGAAATAAACCCATGGGTTTTGGCCATGCCCAAAGAAATAAACCCATGGGTCTGGGCCATCCCCAAAGAAATCACAGCTCACAGCACTGCTCCCAGATGCAGCGCTTCCTCTGGGAACGTCGCTCCTTCTGCCACCTGACCCTGTGTTTCAAACCACTCTGTTGCCTGTTGGTGAGGCTCTGGTGCAGTACAGTCTTTTTTAACCAACATTGTTAAGTTTGACTCGATCCCTCTCCTTTGCCATGTTCTCTGGGAGGCCAGTGAGAACAGACATGGTGCTGTGAGGGGCAGTTGCGATGCGCAGGGGGAGCCGGTCCCTACTCCTATAAACCAAGCAGGGTTTCTTTGTTTAAAGGTGGCAAACTGTTGTGCTGTGAGTCCTGCCCAGCTTCCTTCCACCCCGAGTGTCTCAACATAGAAATGCCCGAGGGCTGCTGGAATTGCAATGACTGTAAAGCTGGCAAGAAGCTGCGGTACAAGCAGATCGTTTGGGTCAAGCTTGGAAATTACAGGCAAGTTGGCTGGTTTTGGTTTTTAATGCTTTGGGTGTCTTTAATGTGCTATAGAGTTACTGGGAGATAACTCAAAGCAGCTCAGTCTTTGTAAACAAGAACTAGAAATACAATAGCACATCTGCTTTGTGTCAGACTTTGATGTTGCCCTTTAAATTCAATTCTCCTGCTTCTTCCAGGCGATGGTGGACACTTGATTGCGCTTGTGTTTGCTGTGTCAGGACATGGCAGAGCAGGGGCTGTCCTGCAGACCCAGGATGTCCTAAGCTTGTCTTTGCTCATAGTCCCCTGCAGGAATACAGGCATTTATAGGTGATCTCACAAGTCTGCTCTTGTATCACGTATGTTCCTACAAGGCTTTTCCAAAATCTGGACTAAGAACTTCTCCTGTGTCTGCCTGGTGCATCCCAGGTGTTGCCAAAGGGAGCCTTGATCCCACGAGGAAGGGGTTCATTTCTTTAGGAAAGGAAAACCGTCTGTCATTTCTCAATCCAGTCAGGCAGACTCGGAAGCTGAGGCCGTAATTCAAGGAACTTACATCCTTCTTTTATTGTTTTCCTACTTTCCAGGTGGTGGCCAGCAGAGATCTGCAATCCCAGGTCTGTGCCTCTCAACATACAGGGCCTCAAACATGATATCGGGGACTTCCCAGTATTTTTCTTTGGTTCACATGACTACTATTGGGTACACCAGGGCAGAGTTTTCCCTTATGTTGAAGGAGATAAAAGCTTTGCTGAGGGGCAAACTAGTATTAACAAGACCTTCAAGAAAGGTAAAATCAAACAAAGTTTATAGTGGTTTATGAAAAACTTCCACGTGTTTGTGTCTCCATCACCACTTAACCTGCATGGGAATATTATGTGACTAGTGTTCTGTGTTCATGTAAAACTGCCAACATTATGTAGATTCCTTGACTGCGGATAAAAATGTGTTTCTTTAAGTGCCTACTCATTGTGTATCGTTGTGGGCAAGCTCAGTTCTTCCACGAACTGGGAGATGTTGAGCTGGAGCCTGGGCTCTGCTGCATGGACGGGGTCATTGCTCGGTGTCTCCCCACCTACGGCAAAGTCCTGACGATGGATTCATCATGTACTGCAATAACTCATTTCCAGCTTGTGTTTTTGTTTATAGAGTTCTATTTCTAGCCTTTACAAAAATTTAAAAAAAAATAAAATATATATATACATGTATATATTTGATTAACAGCAGCTGGTGCTAATTGCTCTCTATTCTGAACTCTCTCACACAGCACTTGAAGAAGCGGCAAAGCGCTTCCAGGAGCTGAAAGCACAAAGAGAAAGCAAAGAGGCATTAGAAATTGAAAGGAATTCAAGGAAACCTCCACCGTATAAACACATTAAAGTGAGTTGGCTTCTTCATTTTCCTGTTTTCATTCTGTAAGCTGTGTATTTAAACCAAAATTTGCAACAATTTAAGCTGAAGGAAATTGAAATGAATGATTTTGTTGTTCTTTTCAGGAATCTCTTGATCTGTTATGATACCATAAAAATTTCTTTTAGCAGAGTGCTTGTGCAAGAGAATTAACAGTTGGAGAGCAGTTTTACCTAAGGTAGAACTTTGCTGGCTGCAGACTCTCAGACCTGTGCTGGCTGTTACACTGACTGGACTCTGCTGACGCTGAACTGGGTGTTGGTGGGAATCCCAACTGCTCGTCCTCCTGCGGTCGAGCTCTTGCCAGCAGTTTTGGACACGTGGGGCTGGTGGGGTTCCTTTCGTGTTTTTAGGTTTAGCTGGAAGACCCCAGTGATGTACTGATAAGCTCCTGAACCAGTAACTTTACTGGGGAGAGACTCATGTTGTACAGTCTGGAGTCATGAGTTTTACTGTTCTTCACTCAAATTGCTTATTACTGGCTTCTCTGAGGAGTGTGTGTCCCCAGTCCACAGCTGAGAGGCACCAGATGCCCTCTGTAAAGCGTGTGTGTCTGCTTCTGATTTGCAGGAACTGCATTTGTTGGGACACACAAGGGTCTAGAAGACAAATAATGACACATATATGTCATGATTTTCTTGCGTTCTGGTGCCAGTTGATGCTTGGCCTCCAATAAAGCTGTTGAGTTTGTGTGCTTTGTGCATTGTCATCTTCATTTATTCTTTTTTTCCCCCCCCCATGTCCCACAGTCCAACAAGGTGATTGGGAAGGTGCAGATCCAGGTGGCAGACCTGTCGGAGATCCCCCGCTGTAACTGCAAGCCGTCGGACGAGAACCCCTGTGGGCTGGAGTCGGAGTGTCTCAACAGGATGCTGCAGTACGAGTGTCACCCCCAGGTCTGCCCCGCGGGCGAGCGCTGCCAGAACCAGTGCTTCACCAAACGCCTCTACCCCGACGCCGAGATCATAAAAACCGACCGACGCGGCTGGGGCCTCAGGACCAAAAGGAGCATTAAAAAGGTAGAATTGCAAAGGACGAAGGTCATGGTGGCCATCGGGTGGTTTTAGAATCATAGAATTGCCCAGGCCGGAAGGGACCTCCAAAGGCCATCTAGTCCCACCCCCCCGCAGTCAGCAGGGACACCCCCAACTAGACCAGGTTGCCCAGGGCCTCGTCGAGCCTCTCCTTGAATATCTCCAGGGAAGGGGCCTCAACCACCTCCCTGGGCAACCTGTTCCAGTGCTCCACCACCCTCCCAGTGAAGAACCCTCTCCTCATCTCCAGTCTAAATCTGTTCCCCTCCAGCTTGAAGCCATTGCCCCTCGTCCTGTCGCTACAGGCCTTTCTAAACAGATTCTCCCCAGCCTTCCTGTAGGACATCTTCAGGTACTGGAAGGCCGCTATTAGGTCTCCCCGGAGCCTCCTCTTCTCCAGGCTGAACAACCCCAGCTCCCTCAGCCTGTCCTCGTAGCAGAGGGGCTCCATCCCCCTGATCATCCTCATGGCCCTCCTCTGGACCCTCTCCATCAGGTCCATGTCCTTCTTATATTGAGGGCTCCAGACCTGCACACAAGACTCCAGGTGAGGTCTCACCAGAGCAGAGCAAAGTGGCAGAATCCCCTCTCTGGACCTGCTGGCAACGCATCTTTTGATGCAGCCCAGGATGGGATTGGCCTTCTGGGCTGCAGCTGCACACTGCCTGCTCATGTCCAGCTTCTCCTCCACCAGCACCCCCAAGTCCCTTTCCTCAGGGCTGCTTTCCAATCCCTCACCCCCCAGTTTGTATTGGTGGTGAGGATTGTTCCGGCCCAGGTGCAGAACCTTGCATTTGCTCTTGTTGAACCTCATGAGGTTCACCTGGGCCCACCTCTTTGTTTGGAAAACAAATCCAACCTGTGTAGGGAATACAGAAAAAATCTGCTGCCTTTGTATTTTGAGTGGGCTTTTTGCTTAAAAAACACATCCCTGGTGCACACAGGCAGGACTTGCCTCCTCCGTGCTTAAAGTGTAATGCTTGTTGTGAGGATTAGAGCCTATTTGTGTTGGAAACGGCTTTTTTCTTTGCTGCCTCCCTTTATTGCCATAAGAAGCAGTAAATGTGGATTTCTTCTTTTTGTTCTCCTTCCCTTCTCAGGGTGAATTTGTGAATGAGTACGTTGGGGAGCTGATTGACGAGGAGGAGTGCCGGCTGCGCATCAAACGCGCACACGAGAACAGCGTAACCAACTTTTATATGTTAACTGTAACCAAGGTAAGTGTTGCTGCTTGTTCAATACAAACTGTTCACGGTTGAAACTGGGGGCAAAATGCTGGCAGAGGCATCGTTCTGGGTTTGAGGGTCACCCCTGGGTGTCTCCTCAATGGAACGGTGAAGAGCTGACACCCAAAGCTTGTACCTGGGGCTGTGCACTCTCTGCCTGTTTCACTTCTGGAAGTGCAAATATTCAGACACTTTTTTTGTAAAACTAACTCTGTGGGGAAAACTCACCACTTCACTGCCTTAAAATAAACGTATTTTTTGCTGCTTTAGCCGTTAGTCAGCAGAAAACCTTATTTTTGTTTGTAAGTACTAAGTATGTCTGTGTGTTTTTGTTTGAAGGACCGGATAATAGACGCTGGCCCAAAGGGGAACTATTCCCGTTTTATGAACCATAGTTGTAATCCAAACTGTGAAACCCAGAAATGGACAGTGAACGGGGACATTAGAGTGGGACTGTTTGCTCTTTGTGACATTCCTGCAGGTAAGAAGGTGGCACTGTTCTGCGTGTGTGCTTTTGTCTTGAAACAGCTGAGTTCCCAACTCGGCCGTGTGGGTCAACTGCTTTTCTTTACATTTTAGGAATGGAGTTAACGTTTAATTACAACCTGGATTGTCTGGGCAATGGCAGGACCGAGTGTCATTGTGGGGCTGAGAACTGCAGCGGTTTCCTGGGAGTGCGGCCAAAGGTACGTGGATGAAAACTGAAGCTTCTCATCCCAAATCCAGAGATCAGAGAGAAAAGGGCAAAGAGAGGTGTTGGGTTTGTGGCCGAGTTCCCAACTTGGCCGTGTGGGTCAACTGCTTTTCTTTGCATTTTAGGAATGGAGTTAACATTTAATTACAACCTGGATTGCCTGGGCAATGGCAGGACCGAGTGTCATTGTGGGGCTGAGAACTGCAGCGGTTTCCTGGGAGTGCGGCCAAAGGTACGTGGATGAAAACTGAAGCTTCTCATCCCAAATCCAGAGATCAGAGAGAAAAGGGCAAAGAGAGGTGTTGGGTTTATTTAACTCTTTATGTTCATCTCTGTAATGCTTTCCAGTAAAAAGATTTGACAGTTGTGCACTGTGGGGTTCTCATGTCTAGGGTGAGGTCAGTTTACCCAATTGTGTTAATTCAGATACGTGCAAGTGGGTGTTCCTGGCTTTTATAGCTTAAAAACTGGTGTGACTTTAATCTAAGCATAGTTCATGCAAATAATAACCCAAAGTCATGTGACTTTGAGCATAGTTCATGCAAATAATAACCCAAAGTTGATTAGATTCATTCCAATGCAAGGGGTTTGTGGAGTGACTGTCTGCTGTGATCTGTGTAATCACTAGACAGCATTTGCAACGGCAAATGAGGAGAAGGTGAAGAATGCCAAATTAAAGCAGAAGAAACGGAAAATAAAAACAGAGCAGAAGCAGATGCACGAGGACAACTGTTTCCAGTGTGGAGACGGGGGAGAACTGGTCATGTGTGACAAAAAGGACTGTCCCAAAGCGTACCACCTCCTATGCCTTAACCTGACCCAACCACCCTTTGGTAAGAGCCGTGGCGTGGTGCCTGTTCACCCTCTCCTTCCTGCAGCAGGGCAGTGAGGAGCTGAAACGCGGTGGGTTTGGTTACATTAAATGCAGCACGTTCCCTTCACAACACCCCTCACTCTCAGCAGCGCCGGGTGTCAGTGCTCCTGAACCAGAACCCGTGGACAAGGAGGTGTTGGGATAATTCCTGTGTTCTTTTTCTTGCATCTCCTTCTTGGATCAAATTTCCTCCTCTCATTTTGATTGAAATATAAGCATCATCTCAGTGTCCTAAGGTCCCCAAGCACAAATCAAGCGACAGTTCAGACACCACTGCCGTAGCAAGCATGATGTGCAGGGTGTGATTAATCAGTAAATGTGTTTAAATTATCTACTGAGGTTGACCGTTGCTCGGACTGTTTTAAGCTCTGGTTCTGCAGGCAGCAATGTTTGGGCCAAGTGGGGCCTAAAAAATACAAAATGACTAAGAACTGTTTCCAGTCAGAGACCTGTAAATGAGAAGCAGAAGTAGCAGCTACAGTAAGAGCTGCTTTTTCTCAACTTCCTTCACATTTATCTGAACACTCACAACATGGAGTTAGGGTTTAGGGCCAGTGCTGTCCCCGAAACGCACTAATCTCAGGTTCCTGTGTCTCTCTCTCCCTTCCCCTCCCATCCACAGGAAAGTGGGAATGTCCGTGGCACCAGTGTGATGTGTGTAGCAGCCCCTCGGTCTCCTTCTGCGAGTTCTGCCCTCGCTCCTTCTGCCGGGATCATGAGAAGGGAGCGCTGGTGGCCTCGGCGCTGGACGGGCGTCTCTGCTGCTCCGCGCACGACCCCAAGGCTCCCGTGGCACCCGAGCACTGGAGCAAGATCAAGTGCAAATTGGAACCACAGAATCCTGCAGAAGAAGCCAAGGAGTGAATTTGGTTAAAAACAAGCAGGGGAGGGGAGCAGAGTGGGGCGAAGGGGCGAGGGACCTGAAGAGACTGCTCTGACACATTCAGTCTTTGTCATCGGAGCCGTGGCGCGGCAGCTGGGACCGGGACCATGTGATGGCAGTGAGCAGGAGCAGGCAGTGGTGGTTGGGCTTTCTTGGTTGGTCTTTCTTTTACCCTTGAATGTGCTACAGCAGCTCTTACCGTCGGAAACCAGAAACGTCTTGGCCTTCAAAGCAAAACGTAGACCTTTTGACAGTGAAAAGAATATTCTGTTTAAAATACGTTCTTTGAGTGTAGAAAGCAAAGCATAGCAACATATTTATTTATTTAATTTTTAAAGGGTGTTGAAGATCTGGTTTTGATCAGTCAACGTGTCTTTAAAAAGCAAAATAGCAAAGCCAACATAACTTTATGTCTAGTTTGTGAAAAGAATAAAGCCTCCCCGCTCTGTGTGACGTTGAGATGCCGTACGGACAGATGAGGGTTTCAGACCAGGTGGCCCTGAAATGCCTCCATTCCAGTACTTGTTTGTAAAGGCGTTTTGAGAAGGTAGGTTCTGTATCATGTTAACTTATCGATACTGTTGTAAAGCATTCCCTGTAAGAAATCAGGTGTGTGATTGCTTGGAAGTGCTTGTGACATCAAGATCTGGCACTGTTTAAGGAGGGGAGAAGTGGCGGTTCCTTGTTCGAGAGCTGTAATCGGTGTTTGCAGACACTGGGGGTTCAGAAGGAGCTTTAATTGCGCCGTGGTTGTTCCTTTATCCCACCTCGTTTGGAAAACCTTCGTTAGCAGAGTCTCCTGGTGCCGTACGGCAGCTCGCTCGGGGCTGAGGGCTTCGTGCTGGCAGTGGGAGCTCTGCCCCGACTCCCTGAGGAGGAGGGTTGTTCTGTGCTGTGTGTCTGTCACCCACCACCTCTGCACCAGCTGTAGGGCAGGGTGTTGCTGTGATTCCGTGTTGCCGCCTTCTCACACTCCCATTAGCTTCAAAAGAGACCTGAGTGTGGAAGGAATCCGCCCCACGTGCATGTTTTGTTTTGATTGAATGTTTAGATTTTATTTTTTTTTTGTGCTGAGAAGGATGTTCTCACTTCGGTCTCCATGTTAATGGAGCTGAGAAAAATCTCAGCATTTCAACAAACAGGGTATTTCTGTGTCTGGGTGACGGGGCCACCTTCAGCCTCAGGAGATGGTTCTCTCTCGATTTCCTCCTTCGGTGAGGCTTTAGGAGCAGCCGAGGCAGGCTCCTGCTCCAGACTTTCTTTCCAAAACCTGTCCTCCTCCATTCCTCGGGCAAGGAGCCGCGGGGGTCTCGGTGTCCCCAGGCTGAAGTTATTCCGTGGGGACCCTCCTGCCCTGGCCCCGGGTCTCACAGAGCACTCTGTGTCCCCCCCTGCCCCGGGACAGCGAGAGGGGCCTTTTCACTTGGGCACTGGCACTCGCTGACTTTGTGCTGGCTTTTTGGTAATGGGTGTTTTTAAAACAATCAGGAATGAAAAGAATTAATCTCAAGTGTTGCTGGCATCTGGCTAAATTGAGCCTTTGAATTAAGAATTGAGAACTTTGTCTCTGGAAAACTGGGTACCTGAACCTACAGGAAGGTGGTGACTTCTCAGTCCAAGGGAAGGTTGGGCTGGAAGAGCCCAGGTGGGATCTTGGGGCACGGCTGGCCTCTGCCGGGGCTCCTTCTCCGCCTCAGATTTGTGTAAGGGGGGGATTTTTTTTGTGTGTGCAATTGTAAAATGACAGAATACACTACAATCTCTTGGAGCAGCCGCTGTGCCACGGAACTGACCCGGCAGCTCATCCCAGAACCTCTGCACCCCTGGGTGTGATGAGCTGCACAGGTCTCGTGGGTCCGTTCCTGGCACAGGGGGGGCTCTGAAGCACTTCACCTTGTGGTCCGTTCTACAGTGAATGTCTGAAACACTACTCGTGCTTGAAAGCAGTGCTATATTTTGGTATTTTTTACAAAAAAAAAAAAAAAAAAATTACAAAAAGGATTTCATTTTTCTTAACATTTTGTGTGATAAATGTCTCTTTCTAAGCTCTTACTGGGGGTGCTGAGCCTTCTCAGAAATTCCAAACGTAGCTCTTGCTGCCGCGTCTGCAAGGCCCGACGTGTTTGCTTCATGTTATTTATTGGGTTTGGTATTTTTTAAAAAAAAAAAAAAAAAAAAATTACAAAAAGGATTTTATTTTTCTTAACATTTTGTGTGATAAATGTCTCTTTCTAAGCTCTTACTGGGGGTGCTGAGCCTTCTCAGAAATTCCAAACGTAGCTCTTGCTGCCGCGTCTGCAAGGCCCGACGTGTTTGCTTCATGTTATTTATTGGGTTTGGTGATGTTTGAATGATTTTTTTCTTTTATCTCTCGGGGCATTCCGAGTCTGGCAGAGCTGCTGTGTTTTCCGTGCAGTGACGTGGTGACCAGAGGGGACAGTATGGCAGGGGGGGGACGAGAGCCACCACCCTCGGTCACCCCCCGGGACCTGCTGCTGGGACGTGCGGGGGCACCGGGTGTCACTGAAGGTTCAGAAAAGGCTTAAAACCTTGTAAAACGCTGTGAATTGGGAGGTGCTGCTCCCCCTGTGCCCCTGGGTGTCTCCCGCTGAACTGGGTTTGCAGATTTCTTACAGGTGCTCCTTTTTTCCACCAAAAAAAAAATAAATTAATAGTTGGCCAACAGCTGGGCTTGGGCTGGAGAGGGAGAATTGGAGATTTGGTTTATAATTTGTACAATTTATGAACAAACAGTCTGAGCTGGGTTTCACGCTGTTGGAGAGAAGGTGAATCTTTCAAAAAAACTTTAACATTCTTAGATAAGATAATTCAGTTTATCTTGGTAGCTGGGGGGGTTTGTTTGTTATGCCAAACACACAATGTTAAAATACACTTTTTAACCATTTCTTTGCAAACTGAGTACCAGTAATGCCATTCCTTCATAAGGAAAGGATTTATCAGCTGTTTTGATTAATTGGCATCAGCAGAGGGGTGGTCACTGCCGCAGGAAATGCGGGTGGGCTCTAAAATGAGGTCATTAATGTTGGGTGCTTTGGTGGTTCCGTGCTGAGCCCTGGAAGAAACCCACGGATTTTGGTGATTTCGGTTGAGAATTTAAATCTGCTGTTGGAGCCTGTTGGTTGCTCCTTCCCGGGAGGCACGCTCATGTGGGTTTTGGTGATTTTGGCTGAGAATTTAAATCTGCAGTTGGAGCCTGTTGGTTGCTCCTTCCCGGGATTATGCCAAACACACAATGTTAAAATACACTTTTTAACCATTTCTTTGCAAACTGAGTACCAGTAATGCCATTCCTTCATAAGGAAAGGATTTATCAGCTGTTTTGATTAATTGGCATCAGCAGAGGGGTGGTCACTGCCGCAGGAAATGCGGGTGGGCTCTAAAATGAGGTCATTAATGTTGGGTGCTTTGGTGGTTCCGTGCTGAGCCCTGGAAGAAACCCATGGGTTTTGGTGATTTTGGCTGAGAATTTAAATCTGCAGTTGGAGCCTGTTGGTTGCTCCTTCCCGGGAGGCCCCCTCACGCTTTTCCTTTACTTTTGCTTTAATTTTTTGTGAGCGCTGACTCGGGCTGCAAAGTCACCGGATTTCGTTGTTTTCTGGAGCTTTTTCTCCCCGGTGGCACCTCGGCAGAGGTGGGGGCTGGTCGCTGCCCCCTCCCGCGCACGGGGCAGGCGCTGGGACCTGCACTGTCCTCTGGCCAGGCTGCTGGAGGCCTCTGCAGCTCAGGAAGGAGAATGATAAAAGGCAATTTTGGGGGCAAATCACCTTCTCTGGTCACCACCTCGGTCTCGGAGAGTCTGTTATAATGGAGAAATGGGGCTGGAATATTTAATTTTGGCCTTTCTTCTGAAAGAAAAACCAACTTCTGGTATCTTAATTTCAGGCTGGAATGGGAAAGACACAATTACTAGACGTAATTAACAATGAGCATACAATCTGTATATATGGAAACTTTACAGAAATAGGTGGGTGGGGAGGAGGGGGGGGCGGGGGGTGTCCTCGTACGAAGTA